ATTCATTTCCAAAACCCCTTACTTTTAAAATACAATATAAATTTCAAAATTTTATTTTTGAAAATATATTATAATTTTTAGAAATAAATTTTCTAAAATTATGTAATATTCTTAAAAATAAATATTTAGAAATATAAAAAACCAAATTTGATTGGATATATGAGAAAAAAAGATGAAAGAGAAACAAAAATAAAGTAAAATTATAATTTATTGAAAAATAAATTTAGTATTTGTTATGTATGTAATTTTAAAATAAAAATTAATAAGGATGTGGGGTGTATTTAGAAGCTTCCTTTCGAAATTTACTCATTTGGACTTAAAGTACTAAAGTTCAGTTGTGAGCCGAAAGTCCAATTTAAATTTTGATTAATTAAATAAATAATACACAAAAATTTAAAAAAAAATCAGAAAAAAAAAAACAAACAAACAAAACAGAGACTGAGATGGTGGTGCCGTGCACAACACCATCCGGCCAGCCCAGCCTACTAGCCGCTATGGCAGCTGAATTTCAGCTACTTTAGTTGTCAACCACTTTGTTTTACCCAGCATCTCCCTCTTCCGCTTTGGTTCTGCGAATGATCCCGAAGGTTGATAAAAATCAACCAAAATTTCAAGACAGAAGGGAGAGATTTTTACAAAAAAAGAAGGCTTGAAAATCCCAAAAGCACTCCTGAGCCCCATGCAGCTCACTACCAAACCTTGAGACCACCACAACCATCGCCTATAGCCAAACTAGGAACCCAACTGAAACACCTAAAAACCTCCCCCAACCTCACCAATCTACCCGACTACCACCCATTTCAAACCCACATTGTTGGCAGCCTTGCCTAACTCAACCGCCGAGAACCCTTGCCAAAAAATAAAAATCCCAGCTCCATCATCCTAGCAGAGACACAGCTTCCACCATGAACCCCCATCACCCCCTTGCACTGAACATAATACCCCAACCCTACTGCCATCAACTGCCCAAAAAAAAAATCCAAACACATTCCCTGGATTAGGGAAGAAGCAGCACCAAACCACCACCAAAATATATATATAGCGGGATAAAATTTGGGCTCGAAACAACGTCGGAGAGCAGTGGCTAGTGGTTGGCACGACGGTCGAAATCTGGGGTTTTTTTGTTTTTTAGAGGTGGCTAGCAGCTTTTTTTTGGACAGAGAGGGGATTTCTTTTTTTTAGGTTAGAAGATGAAATGAAATAAAATAAAATAAAGTTGAGCGGGTTGAGCTCGTGCGCCTAGAACCAGCCGACGCGCAACCCAGGAACCATCCCAACCCAACTGGCCTGTAACCCATCAGAAATTGGGCCCTTGATTTGGTTTTGGGTCGGAGCCCAAGTAAGGTATATATCTCTTATAACTTGGGTCCATATTATTAATGTTTATATGCATTTATATATTTTTAATATATAGATAAAAATGGAAATCATTTTTATTAAAAAATGAGATAATATCTTTAAATAAAAATAATTTTTGGGTCTTTGCCTAGATATTGAAAAGAACCCAAATAATTATTCTCATTTTAGATGATTATAAAGAAATTTTGCAAATGAAAAGTTAATTTTCTTAAATTCCACTTAGATACGAGGAATTAAAAGAAATTTTCAACACTAAAGATTTTTATTTTTATAATTAAATATTCTTTGAAAAGAAAAAAAAAAGATGATAAAAGTAATAAAATTAAAAGTTTGCAAAATGAGAAATAAAATTGATTATTTTTAGCATTTTATTTTTATTTTTATTTGCCTCATCTTGCTAATAAAAGTGAAATGGAAAATAATGATTTTTTAAAAAAGTAAAAATGAGAGATATTTTTAGAAAAAAATATTATTTTAAGTAAAAATGATTTTGAAAATCTTGTCTAAATATTAGAAGAAATTCAAATATTTATTTTTATAAAAAAAAATGTTATCTTTATTTTAAAGATTATTATAAGTTTTTCTTATTTAATAAATGATCAATTTTCTTATATTTTACTTGGATATTGAGGAACTAAGGAAATTTTCTGTCACTAAAGATTTTTATCAAAGAAATAATGGTAAAAAGTATAAAAATAAAAGTTTGAAAAAAATAAAATAAAATAATTGCATTGTGTGATTTTTATTTGTGTAATTTATTTCATATATGGTATTACATGCATCATAATTCATAATAAATGTAAAACGAAAAAAAAAATTTGAAAAAAAAAGACTTTTAAATATAAAAGCTTATATTCTTAGTAAAAATAATTTTAGGTCCTTGTCTAAATATTGAAAGGATTCCCAATAATTATTCTTTATGAAGTAATATTATGTCAAATGTTAAGAATTATTATGAAAATCACAAGTGGAAAAATATTTTCAAAATTTTGTCTAAATATTGAGGAGTTCAAAAGAACTTTTTGAAACCCAAAATTTTCATTTTATTCCTAAATAAAAGGTTTTAAAAAAGTATTTTGCAAAAAAAAAAAATCAAGGGAATTACTTTATATGGTAGAATTAAAACTATTTTTATTAAAGCAAAAGGATAACATATGATCAGTTAGTATCGATTTTAAAACAAACATTATGGGGGTTGCTAATCCTTCTTTACGCTAATCGTATTCTTGAACTCAACTTTATTTTCGTAAACCAAAAATTTTTTTTTAATAAGTTTTAATTAACATTAAGATTTTATTAAAAATATAAATTTTTTAGGTGGTTAATTACACATAACAAAAAATATTTGTGGTAACTCCTCTTATTTTGATTTGATTTATTAAAATTCATCTAAAAGTCCCAAAAACCATTATGATAGGTACCAATACAAGACTACCACCAATGCAAGGATCATATTCAACAACATGGAAAACAATTCTTGAACCAACATAGATTAAATTAAGTGGATGATTATACCTAACAAAAAAATATTGATGACAACTTCTCTTTTTGTGTTTAGTGGACGAGTTCTAGGACTTATACACTATGAAAATCCTATCATAATTTGAAGATTCTTTTTATAAATTTAAACATTCCGAATAGACAATTCTAATATACAAAATATGGCTTAAATGTATAAAATGAAAATTAGAATGTTGGAAAACCAAAAAAGTTTTCAATATTTAATAATGCAACTAAAGAAAATAAAATAAGATATGGATCTAAGTAAAATATCATTTAGCTAAGATAATTTTAGGATAATATAAAATTAATTAATATCATTTTAGGATGGACATTGTGAGGTGTTAATGCTTTCACTAGGCGTAACTAACTCACAAATCTAATTCTTTGAGTAATTTGTATTTAATTCTAAAAATTTTTACATTTTAATGCTTTTTATGTTTTTAATTTTGCCTTTTTGGTTTGAAAATAAAAATTAATTATTGTTATTGAAATTTTATCTATATTATTCCACCATTTGGGACAAATTTAGACAAAATTTTTCACCTAAAAATTTTATAAAAATTTATCATTTGAAATTTTTATAAATTTCATCATTTGATAATTAATATTTATCCCCAAAATTATTATTTTTTCTTATTTTATTAAATTAAATCATATAAAAAATACTCATAAAATAAATAAACATATAAATAAAAAAAAAAAAACAAGTAAAAAAACCAAAAAATGAAAACGGCTTAGCTTACGACTAGAATCAGCTTGGCTTGAGACAGAAAAAGTGGCTCGAAGGCGCGGCTCAAAGAATGTGGCTAGGCTCAGCTCGGCTAGAATGGTTTGTTGGAACTCGGGTCAGTCGAACGGGTTGCGTCGGGTCGGGTTGACCCAGACAGAAACGCGCGGATCTTGGGTATCTACTAATGCTAAAACAGTACCGTTTTGCCCTGGTATAAAAGCATAAGTCCGGTCATTTCCTTCAGACTTCTCCTCCTACCTCTCTCTCTTCTCCTTTTTTCTCTCCCCTCTCTCTAGAACATAACTCAGAATCCAATTAAATTTTCATCAGATTTTGAAAAATCACGTCGAAATATAGAAAACATGTCGAAAAACTCAAGTTTTGCCGAAAATTTCGTCTGAATCTAGATTTTTCCAGAAAATTCCCAGAAAAAAATTATCCAAAAATCTGAAAAAATTCCCAAAAATCCTAAAAATTGCTCATAATTCTCCAGAACCTTTTTCTTTTGCTTATGTTTTCTCCTTATTTCTTTCTGATCCATGTCCTTTGATTCCTGTTTGAGCCTCTATTTATAGGTATTGATCATAAACAATTTCTGATCAAGTCCTATTCCCTTTTTGACTAGGATTTAATCCTTGAATCTCAGTCCAACTCTACCAGCCCTTATTCCAGAATGAGACAAAAATTAAAGCTTAATTTTCGGATCAAGACACCAAAATAAAAATAAAATCAAAATCAAAATCAAAATGACGAAAATAATAAAATAATAAAAAATCAAATTAAAAATTTAAAACTAAAATTGGGCCAGAGCTGAACTAAATCCAATGGACCCTTGTTGAATCAAGCCCAATGGGTTCGAGCCTAAGCTCAGACAAATTAAGGTATCTACAATATCTTTATAGAATAGTTATAGGTACAATTAAGATTTCAAAAGTTATAACAATTAAGAGGTGAGGTTAGTTGTATAATATTAAAGTATATTTTATTTTTTTATTAACATTATGAATTGATTTTTATTTGAATTTTTTATTTATTTTAATTGCAATTTACTTTTATTATTTAATTACATTTTTTAAAAGATGCAATTTACTTAATTATTTAATTATTATTTTCATATTTTTTATTTTGAAAATGAACAAACCAAACATATTTTCATAAATTTCGTTTTTGAAAATAAAATTTTATTTTATATACCAAACATGTTTTTTAAAATTCAAAAAATAAAAAATAAAAAATAAAAACTATTTTCAAAAAATAAAAATAAAAAGTAAAAACGGAAAATATTTTCATTAACCAGCCTTGCTTTTTTCAACCTTTACGTATTGGTTTAAAGTTGACAAACGTAAAACCGAGCGTAGCTTCTCCTCTAATTTTTAATTAGCTGTGGTTGGTGAGTGAGGTAATCATTTTTTGCCTTATAAATACATACCCCGAACAGCAGAACAAACCAGAGCACCAAAACCAAAAAGCAAGAAGGCCACGTTCACAAATTTTCATATAAAAACACTAGAATCTCGTCATCTACACCTACAACGTTTTCCAAATTCCCCGTAAACAAAAAATATGCCAGTTGACAGCTCTTCCCCTTGGAGCCAAATCGTCTGTGTCACCGGTGCTGGTGGCTTCATCGCTTCCTGGATCGTCAAGCTTCTTCTTGAAAAAGGTTACACCGTGAAAGGCACTGTGAGGAACCCAGGTCGGTTTCCTTTACTTTTTTTTTTTTTGGCATGTAAAGACTAAGGAGACAGACAGAATTCTTGTTATTTTGTTTATGTTAAACAGTTTTGTGAATAACTTTTTTGGGCGTTGTTTTCTTTTTTTTTTTTTTTTGTTTAGATGATCCCAAGAATGCTCATTTGAGAGAGCTTGAAGGAGCGAATGAGAGGCTAACTCTTCACAAAGCAGATCTTCTTGATTATGAGTCTCTTAAGGAAGCCATTAATGGGTGTGATGGAGTTTTCCACACAGCTTCACCTGTGACTGATGATCCTGTAAGTTATTCATTTTTAATTTGCTTTTGTTTTACTATAATTTTCGGAATATCCGTTTGGTTCTATAGAAAGTTTGGGGAAAAAAGGATGAATCAACTTTTCTTCCATTTGCCAAAATAGTTTGAAGACACAGCTCAACTAGGACCAGGTTGAAATGCTTGTGTTTCATGAGGTTTTTGGACAATGCTTTTTTAACAAGCAACTTTTGTCACCAAGTTCTGCTTTAAATATCTATCAGAATAATTAAAGAGAGTTTGAGACTTGAATTTCACCATTAAAATTCAAATATTGGTTGAGACGGCTAAAAACTACAAGATATATATGTAAAATAATATAATAATTTACGTGTATGGAATTCACAAGGTGTACTACATTACATTTATGATGAGATGTGAAACTGAAGGCTATGGTTTGGCTGCTTTTAATTAATTTAAAGGAACAAATGGTGGAACCGGCCGTGAATGGGACTAAGAATGTGATAATAGCAGCGGCAGAGGCCAAGGTTCGACGAGTGGTGTTCACGTCTTCTATTGGTGCAGTGTATATGGACCCCAACAGGAGCCCTGATGTAGTGGTCGATGAGTCTTGCTGGAGTGACCTGGAGTTCTGCAAGAATACCAAGGTGACTTTATTTCTTTCTTCATTGAGATTGTAATTACTAATTAGTTATGGTATCTCTTCCAAAAATACAAACAAATAGAAACAATGGCAGGACATGAGTTCAAAAGTGTGGGCTCAAACACAAATGATTAGGAATATTAAACCTTGGGAAAAGTCAAGTTTAACTGACCTGGTGCTTGACTGGGTACTTTCCTGATTGCTTCTGGACTGGGTCTGGTTTGGCCTTTGTCTATAACCTGAATTAACGCATCTTGCAAATATAGAAGGGCCTAGAAACTCCTTGTTTTGGTAAAATATCCGACCACCATGCTTATTTAATAAATATTGTACCCAAAATCAGCTCAATACTATGAATGTATACTCGATGTTACACTTTGTACTAGAATAGGATAGCCATCATTAGAATCATCCCCTCAACCGATAAAAGGATAGGGATCATTTTCTTTCTATGTTATTATTTTGGTCATTAGTTATTAGAGCTAATTAAATTTTTGAAATGAATGATTTCCTATAGTTCTGAATAATTCAGTTGCTTCTAAACCAAGAATTTGAATTAAAATAGAACATTGATAACTTGATTTAATGATTGATTAATGTACAAAATTGCAGAATTGGTATTGCTACGGGAAGGCTGTGGCAGAGCAGGCAGCCTGGGAAACGGCCAATGAAAAAGGGGTAGACCTTGTGGTGATAACCCCTGTTTTGGTGCTAGGTCCACTGCTGCAATCAACTGTAAATGCTAGCATTATTCACATCCTCAAGTACTTAACCGGCTCAGCAAAGACCTATGCCAATTCAGTTCAAGCCTATGTACATGTGAGAGATGTTGCATTAGCACACATTCTTGTCTTTGACAATCCCTCTGCCTCCGGCCGATACCTCTGTGCAGAGAGCGTTCTCCACCGTGGAGAAGTGGTGGAGATTCTGACCAAGTTCTTCCCTGAGTATCCCATCCCTACCAAGTAAGTGTTTTGCTGTTAATTACTCTCTGAATTGTTTTTATCATATGAGCTTTACATAATCGGTTAGAAAATTAGCTCTAAATTTAATATAATAACTCGGTAATGCAGTAGGTAAGTGGGGGCAACCCTTGTTTGCTGTTTGGCGAGGAAGTCGGTTCTGCTCTTTGAATTTTCTGCAAGTGAAAATCATAACAAACTTTAACAGGTTTTGCATTTTACTATTGTCATTTTAGTCGTTGAAACATAAGATAAATGAGACGTAATAAGGATTTATCAAAGATTTTGCTTTAAAAATAGATTTTTTTTCATAAAACAATGAAAAAATAGGGTCCACCTTGGGTTTACATGGCATGAGATAGTGGTGGAAGAGAAATAGTCTATTTCCATATTCTTCAACCTACTAAACGCTAGGTATTTTACTTGTCTTTTAACAACTCTTCTTTGCTGTGCTGAGAAGTTTAATTCTCAAGATGGGACACTTTCTAGGAAATTAGATTGGATAACAGTTCTCACAGATTACCTGAAAAACTTGGAAAAGAAAAAAATAAGTTATTTTCTCATGGAGAAAATCATGATTACATGCTGAATTCTTTTTAAGAAATAAACGAAAAAAAAAAAAAAAAAAAACAGGTGGAGGGCAGTGGAGCATGTGGCTAAACTTCTTCATGAAATCCAAAAAGTTGGGGAAAAAAGGTTGAATCCCATTATGAAAAAAAAAAATAATAAATATGATACTAATATTGATATATTTCTCATCACTGGTGACATCATCATAATTTCTGTCAAAGTGGAAGACGAAAAATTAAAGGAAAATAAGATGCAGAAGGCATTCGAAGATAAGCTTATGAATCGGCAATCTTTCATTTTCTAGTTTGGTGTATCAGCTTTGACAAATGTCACGATCTTTACCTACTACTCCTACAAGAAGTGGATTTTTAGAGCAAGTGATGATTTCTTTTTCTTTTTTTCTAATTTGAATTTAAAAAGCAATAAGTTAATATAAATAGTGGTGCTGATTGATCTTCACCAACCCCCAATGTCTTTGTCAAATTCTCAGGAGAGTTGGCTAAAAGGATTATTCTATTCTATCCACCTACTGAAGTTCAATCATGGTGCTTTCCCAATTATGGGAAATTTAGGTGAAGCTTTTATTTTTTGTATAGTCAATGAATTCTGGGGCTGCAGGTAGGTCCAAAACAGGGTCCCCAACTTCTCTTATGAGAATTCTATTTGAAAATTTCATGCATATCCTTTAGATAGATTAGCCTTTTGTCTTTTAATGGGCCATAATTGGAAGGGTAGCTGAACATAACGTGATTCCTACCAAAACGAGTCCATCATAACAATAACAAGCGGTAGAAGCAATGGCGGTTTCAAGATTGAAGAAGTGTTCATAGATTTTTTTTTTAAATGAAAAATAAAAAAATTTGAAAGAAATTTTTTTTCAAAATTTTTTTCTGAAAATTTTTTTGTTCAATAAAATTAATAAATTCATCAATAATTTTTTTATATATTATAAGTGGACATTTTGTAGAAAAAATTTTGAATTCATCGTTGGGTACACTGGGTAAAATAATCAATTTTGTTTGATGTACATTTTGATGAAATTAAGTACCTTGTTTGTGTTTTACAATATTTTCAACCAAACGTGGAAACTAAGATGCTGTAATTGTGACATTTGACAAATCAAGGTGCTCAGATGAGAGGAACCCAAGAGCAAAACCTTACAAGTTTTCAAACCAAAAGCTCAAGGACTTGGGGTTAGAGTTCACCCCGGTGAAGCAGTGCCTATATCAAACTGTCAAGAGCTTGCAAGAAAAGGGTCACCTTCCTATACCAGCAGAGCAAGAAGATTCAATTCGGATTCACTCTTAGGTTTTTCAGAGGATATATTCAAAATGTATTGTATCCCTTTTTCGTGATGTGATTGCTTAATTATTACAGCAAAGATAGTTAATTGGACCAAATAATATCTTGAACATTTTTATCTTTTAATTGATAAGTAATTAAAATATATTTAGCCAATTAATTAATGTTCCTTCCTTATATTCAGTAATAAAATATAAAAATATGTGAATTTAAAATTTAGTTTGGTTAATTTACGTAATTATTTTTTAAAAATAATACATAATTTTAAATTTAAATTTTAAATTTTAATACTTAAAATCATTTACCTTATTTGGTCTCTTTTGGAAAAAAAAATATATAAATGTGTATGAGAGTACATTAATCAAAATTTCGTATTAGTTTTTGGAGTGAGATCAGAAGTGACGTCTGCGATCATGGTAGCAGTGTAGAGGAAAATTTCAAAGTCCTGAATAATGGAGGTATCTTAAGGCTATGGCTGAAGGGAAACAACGTAGTTGTAAATGACGGTAATCTAAACATAACTCCAAGATCATTAGTTGATAATTCGAATACCATAAATAAATAAATGAATTGAGACATCTGTTTGAATAGCCTTAATTGATAAGCCAAAGCAAAGCCATTTTTTAGAGATATTAGGTTTTCTACTCGCTCTATTTTATCCGCAGTTTTTATTAAGTAAATGCCATAAATTAAAAGTAAAGAGGGGATGTTAGTATTGAAACACTAGAAGTTTTTCTATCAAAAACTTGGGTCAAAGACTTATAAAACCGCCTAATCACATTGACTAATAAAAAAAATGTAAAGTTCACATATAAGTAATCATTGTTAAATTATTTGGTTTTTTATACATATTTTGTATTAGGACTAAATTTATTAGGTAATTTTGTTAAATTATAAAATTATCAAGTAATTGTAACCCACTTATTGAAAAATCTAACATTTTCCCACTTGGGCAATATCAACTAGGTTATTTGATTTTAAGAAAATATGATATAAAAAACAAGACTCCAAACTGATTAAGTTTACTTTGACATATCACAATTTTAAAAAATAATTTAACCCTTGAAACAGCATCTTAATCATCCTGTCTAATAAAACCATTTAACACTGAATCATGTCAACCTTTATGTCTGTTGTTGACTTAAAACCAATTCGTGGTTATAAGTACTAGTGACTTTATCGATAATGGATCTAAGTGTGGCTCTATAGTAAGGAAATAGTACCCATTTATGGTCTTGGTAGGTTATTTTTTATTGTTAGTTCTTTTGTCAATTTCTCTAAACTTGTTGAAAAATTTTCATGACATCTTGATGTGCTTTGATGTTTTCTACTTTATGCCTCGAGGTTCCTTAATGATGCCATTCATGAGACATACCATTGTGACAAAATAATCATACTTAAACAGACACCAAATCTTAAGATTTCACAATACATATATTGATAAACATATAACAAATTTTAATTAATTAAGTGTACATATACTACCAAAGTTAAATAATAACATGAATTTCAACCAACAATAATTATCAACCAAGTATGGAATCAAGTATCACATAGATATAACGACACAAAAGAGTCCAACATAAAAGCAAACCATGATATGTGAGTATGAAATACAAATGATATACTCTCATTAATGAAGTACATCAAAAGACCCTAAATTACCTATAATTTGAATATGTTTATCAAACACTATAAGTCTTAACCCCTTAGTTAAAGGATTAGCAATCATGTTGTTAATCCCAATATGTTCGACTACATTCTTACATTTTTCCATAACATAAAATAAGATATTTTATCTCTAAATGTTTAAACCCATTAGTGCTTTTATTGTTTTAAGAGAACAACACAACTGACTTATTATCACAATAAATCTTCAATGATCTAAAGATTTAATCAACAATATGAAAGCCTAAGATACAATTTTTAAGCCAAATAGCTGCGTAATAGCTCCATAGCATGCAACAATCTCAACTTTCATTGTGTAAAAAGCTAATCACATTCTTCTAAAATGGCTTCTCCAATGAACATAAAAATATTACCTAAGGTAAGCTTCTGTTATCCTAACAAGCAGCAAAGTTAGAATTTGTATATCGTTTTATCTTAACATTATCCATTTTTTTGTATACCAACATATGGCCATTAGTCTTTTATAAGTACTTCATCACTTTCATAGTAACAGCACAATGATCCATATCACAATTAGAAAGATATCTCTCAAGAATTCCTATTATAAAAGCAATATTTGGCATAGTACAAACCAGTGTATATATAATATTTCCAACTGCATTAGAATAGGGAACGCTTTTCATGAATTTTTTTCTCTAAATCATTTTTCAAATAGTGACTAAGATTAAGTCTATCACCTTTCTCAAATAAATGCATCTCTAATTTTACAGTTTTGCATGTTAAATCTATTAAACATACGATCAATGTAAGAGTTTTGCAAAAGTTTCAACAAATTTTGAGACCTATCTTTATTAATCTCAATTTTAAGAACAAAAGAGGCATCTTAAGAGCTTTTATGTTAAAAGTATTGAATAACAACTGCTTAAGATCTATTTGGCTCGGTTGAAGCTTCTGTAAAAAGCACTATTCGAATAAAGCTAAAATAAAAATGTTGTAAGAAAAAAACTAAAATAACGTTTGGTAAAATTAACACAAAAGTACTTTGGGATATAGAAAGTTGTTTGATATTAATATTATAAAAAAGTTGAGAAATGTTAAAATTATAAAAAAAAAAATTGTTAAGGCAATTTTTATTATATTTATATGTAATTGTTCTACTAATTGGATATTCATTGTATTTATAATTTTTATTAGAATTACAAAAGTATAAATTTATGATACAATAAAACTTGATACCATCTAATAAAGGTCAAATTATGCTGTTAATATGTACTATACTTAAATTTTGAATTTAGTCTTTGCACAATAATTGTAATATTGGAAGTATCTATATTTTTCGCGATTTGAAATTTTCGTCTAATATGTGACAGTTGGTTAATAGCATAATTTAACTTTTAATAAAAAATATTACAAATATATATAAATTTATACACATATAAATTATAAGCACATGTGAATAAAGAAACAAAAAATTAATCTCATTAAACCCAAGTCATAAGTTTTAAAATGAAAGAAATATGTAAAAGTATTGCTTTAAAAATAAAAAATAATAAAAATAAAAAAGAATGTCATTTGCCCTTTATTAAAGATTCAGCTATTGGATCACTGAGTGTTAAGCATCTCAGTATCATGTACTAGAATAAATTAATGTATTAGAATAAAAATAAAAAATTAACAAATAATGTCATGTACCTTTTGATAGTTTTGGATTGTATAATATATATATAAAAAAAAAGAAAAGAAAAGAAAAGTGAATGATATCACTAGAATTTAGAAGTAAAAGAATAAATGAAAGAAGAAAAATGAAGTACGGTGGCTACAAGAAAAAAAAATAAATAAAAGAAGGCAATCTGGAGATGGGGTTTTGTTGTTTTTAGTTTAATCATGATAATTAGAGAATATGAGGGGAAGTGGTTTGATTTATTTGACTTGGAAATGAATTTTCTTGGAAAATTTTAATTATTGTCACATGTTAGAGTCTTTTTTTTTTTTTTTTTTGAGGATCACACCTTAATTTATTCGTTTCTTATAGTTGTACTTAAGTAAAAAGAAAAAAAAATCTCAATAAAAATTTTGGT